TGAAATCTTAACCCTTGAGGTGATAGTATTCAGGGGTGGAACCTTTGGGAGGTGCTATGATTTGACTGTGTCCCCCAAAGTTCCTGTGTTGGAAACTTAATCCCTGATGCAAGAGTTTTAGGAGGCGGGGCCTAATAAGAGGTGATTAGGTCATGAGGGCTCTGCCTTCGTAAATGGATTAATGTTGTTCTCATGGGAGTGAATTAGTTTCCATGTCAGTGGTTTTATTATAAAAGCAAGTTTGGCCTCCTGTTGCTCTCTCACCCTCTCTTGCCCTTCTGCCTTCCACCATGGAATGATGCAGCATCATCTGATGCCCCCCCCCTACAGATGCCAGCACCGTGCTCTTGGACTTCCCAGCCTCCAGAACCCTGAGCCAAATATATTCCTGCTCATTGTAAATTACGCAGTCCATACTATTCTGCTATAGCAACACAAGAAGGACTAAGACATCAGGCGATTGGGTGATGAGGGCAGCCCCCTCATGACTGGCATTAGTGCCTTATAAAAGAGGCCTCACAGGGGCCAGCTCGCCCCTCCCACATGATGATACTGCGGGAAGGTGCTGTCTGTGAGGAAGTGAGCCTTCCTCGGACACTGAATCTGCTGCTGCCTTAGGCTTGGGCTTCCCAGCCTCTAGAACCGTGAGAAATGGATTTCTGTTGTCGACCAGCCACTCCGCTTACGGTATTTTGTTAGTAAATGGACCAAGACACTATTATTGTTGGTCATGGGAGTATTAAGTGAGATGTCCTAGGGAATCTCTGAATTTCAGACCCAGTGCTCCCGGTCCCTGCTGTGGAGCAACAAGTCGGATTTCCCCCCGGTAGTCGGGATCAATCACTGCAGCCAGCGGAGTCGTTTCTTTTCCCTTTATTTTGATTCAGTGGCTTACATATCATATATTCTGCCCAAAACCATGTGAACTTGGAAGCAGATCTTTTCCTGTGAAGCCTTCAGATGAGACTCCAGCCCTGGCTGACACCTTGACGGCTGGCGTGAAGCAAAGGTGCTGGCTAAGCCACGTCCAGGTTCCCGACCCTGGAAACTGTGAAACAGAAAATGCGTGTTGTGTGGAGCCTCTAAGTTTGTGGCAATTTGTTCCATGGTGATAGATAATGAATGCATAGTTACACAAGCTAACACGTTAAATCCAGATTTTTCTACTAAGTGCAGCTATGCCAATGTGTTTGGCCTGATCTGATGTTGTATTCCTCCCTCCCTGGTATAACACTCTTAGAATGTACTCCCACACATGGTCCCCAGGATTCTGCCAATATATATAAACACGGGCTTGCAATGCTTTTGGTGGTCACAATGTGTACCTTGCTGCAGAGCGTGCAGAGATTGGACCCCAGTTGTGGGCTAGTGGCAACAGGGTGTGGTTCTGATGGCTTTTGGGGTGCATGGGCACCCCTTTCGGGGCATCTGCCCCCGGTGAGCTCCCCCCAGGGTTTTCACACAGAGGACAGCCAGTCTCCCCAGACATGAGAGAGCAAGCTGCTGCCGCTGGTAGTGGTGGTGCGGCGTGACTCGGGGACTCAAGATTGTCCATGCACTTGGATCCAATCAGATGTTTTCATTCCAGGTTCTGGGACCCTGTTCTTTACTAATCAACACTCTAACTTTCACGTGAGAAGCTTGTTGAGCCTGTGAATTCAATTGCCGTATTTCAGCAACCTGCACAATTAAATTTTGTATTTGATTTTCAGCCCTGTCAGCCCCGCGGCTAAAAGAAATAAGAGCTTCGTTTAGAGCCGTCATGGAAGCTTGCTGGCTCTCGGACCGTGACTGGAGCCGAGGGCTAACGGATCTCAGCTCGTCATTCTCTCTTCGTAAATGCCCAGGCGCGTTCCAAGGAGCCCACACCTCGCCAGATCTTCACAGCCATCATTACCGCCGTAATGGTCAAGCTGGCAGCCACCTGGGCTCCGTGGGCACGAGCCACTTCAACACAGTCAGCAGCAGGTGATGGCTGATTAACTGTGCCGCCGCACCACCGCCGCATGTCTGGATGACTAATGCCCCATCTCCCATGGCAAGGAGCTCGGCACTGCGCTCAAGCCCAAAGCTGTGACCCGGCCGGTCCCCCAGTCCCACCTACCACCTGGGACCACTCCTGGCACCAATTTTGTACCCATCAAGGCACCTCTGCCCGCTTCCCACGGCCTCTGGCCAGCTGGCCCCGCACAGACTGTGGGGCGTGCAGGAGGTTGTGGGGCTCCCTATGGCTGGGGAAACTGAGGCCTGGGGGGTGGGGAATGATCTCCAAGATTATGCAGTGGAGACACCTCTGAGTCAGAACTTGAACCCAGGTCTCTGGGCCCCACATTCAGCACCCTGGCTGCTGTGAGCCACTGCCTCCTGGTGGCTCCTCAGCCGTACACGGCTGGGGGTCTTGGGTGACTCAAAGCACGTTTCCCTGGGTTGGGCATACCCCCCTCCCAGCACACATCCCCTGAGCCTGTCCTCACCCTGGCTCCTCCCTTCCCTGGGGACGACTTGCGGATTGAGTCCCCTAGTGTGTGCTAAGTACTAAGGATGGCTGTTCGTGTCACCCTTGCTGCAGCCTTGCTAGGTAGGTGCTACCACCCCCACAATACGCAGGGTGGGGGTGACAGAGAAGGAAGCGAGGCTCAGAGAGGCAGAGACACCCGTCCAAAACCACACAGGTGGGACTCAACACCAAAGGGAAGATATGCCCGGCACTCCAGGCCCGGGGCTCCGGGAGCCCCCAGACACTGCCCTGGAAGCAGAGCTGGCTGCAGAGGATGAGCCCCCAAAGGAAAGTGCAGGCCGGGCACCCAACAGGTGCTCCACGGGCTGGGGCTGGGACACGACGGGGAATGGCTGCTTCCCTGCGGGCAGCGTGGGCTTCCCAGGGGAGCCTTGCTGGGGATCGGGGGTCCCCTCCAAGAGGCCAGGGGAGACCCTCTGGAGTGACATTTGCCACCCGCCACTCATTACTGGTCAGAGTGGAGTAAACGGAGCTGGGCCTTTGGGTAAGTGCCTGGGAGACCCCGAGTCCCGGCTCAGCCCGGGGGCCAGCGCGGGCCGGGGAGCTAATGAAGCAAACTCGCCCGTGGGGTCGGAGGCTGCCTTGGGCCTCCTGACCAGGATTGAACTTTCAGTGGCTGCCTTTCAAGGTTCCCAAAAAAAAAGAAGGGGTGCAGAGAGGGAAGGCGTTGTTTTCATGCCTCTCGCTTCATTTGCATAAGGTGAAAAATGTTTCCATAGAAACAACTGGAGTCTGTAATTTTTGAATAACGATTTATGCACAAAGCACAACGTGTCTTTTTTTGAAGGGGAGTGAAGGAATTCTTAGCAACGTTCCTGCCACAGCACGAGGCAAAGTCGCCCGCTGCCGGGGGAGTTGCTGGGGCAGAGGGTCCTGATCCGGCCCCAACTCTCTCTGGGCTTCGGTTGACCCCTCTTGTGAAACGGGGGGGTGAGGACCAAGCTGGAGTTAGCAGGGATTAAACTTCACGCAAGTCCGAAGTGAGGGGAGGGGCGTGAAATCTGGAACCCGCCCCTGCTGGGCTGGGACGCAGAGGAGGTCCGGCCGGTGCTCAGAGGTGGTGGGGCAGAGGGCTAAGGACCTAAGGACCCCCGGCCTGCAGGGAGAGGTCCTCCAGCCCCCGCCCGCCGGCCCTGGCCGTCCCGCCGGCCGCCGGGTCTCCCCGGTGGACGGTCCTTGGCCGGGCGTGGGGGCCGTGGCCTCGCCTGGGCGCCTCTGCCCCCTTGTGGCCCGAGGGCTCCGCCGCACGCACTCGCTGGGGCCTGACCCTGCCGCCTCTGCTCAGCGGCCCTTTGGACAGAGGGGGTGGCCAAGGGGCCTGGGAGACGGCCCAGACCCATTCTCTGCCCCAGGCCTCAGGGCAGATGGCCACCCACAGAGGGTCCCATGGAGATGCAGCCTGGGGCACAGTGGGGAGTTCAGGTTCCCGGGCCTGCGTCTGCATGTCCCACTCGGGACGTCAGCGCACACGACCAGAGTGAAGACTTCGGAGTGTACCGGGAGGACCTGTCTGCCCTCCCATATCACAGATGGGAACACTGAGGCCCCGAGAGGGGGCCCACATTGCTGCTGCTTCGCACCAAGAAGGCCCAGCGTGTTCTGTCCGTCCTGCGCCCGCCACAGTGACCAAGCGCGCTGAGTGATCTGGGTCAGCACAGTAATCGGGGCTGTCGTCCTCGGAGTTCTGGGACTGCCCTTATTTACCTTCCTCGTTGAACTGTGGGTTGAAATATCGTGCTGGGACCGGAGCCGAGCGGGCAGAAATGCCCGGGGTGGCTGGCTTAATGACAGCCCGAGGAGAGGGGAGCAATGAGCCGTGCGCTGCACGGCCCCACGCAGGAAACGCTCCTGCAGACGCCCTTCCCTGTTATTTTTAAGAACTATGTGCATGACGCCCCCTGAATCAAAACACGACGACCCCACTGGACGGTGACCTTCCAGGGGCCAGCCCTTCTGGGCCCCTCCTCCTCCTCCTCTGCTCACCTGGGCTCCAGGTTGCCGGGCCTGGGCGAGAGAGGCGGCACCCAGTAGGACAGAGAAGGCCAGGCCTGCGTCCGGGTGACCCCAGGGCGGAGCTAAGAAGGACGGAACCAGAATCGGGGGGTCCGAGCCAGCCCTGCGCGTCCTGCGGCGGGGCAGCCCCCAGTCAGCACAGTCTGGGAGAGACGGGGCTGGCCCTGGGGACCCACAGATGGGGCATGTGCCATGTCACTAGGAAAGAGCCCAAAGTAGACAGATGGGACCCCTTGGGGAAGCTACTGCATGTCCCGGAGCCTCAGTTTCCTCCTCTGGGAAATGGGGCTTTCGTGAGGATTAAAAGCAAGTGTGTCTGCAAACAGCCAGCTCAGGGTGGAGAAAGAAGAGGGGGCAGTTTTATTCCCCAGCGGGAGTCTTGGAGGGGGCTGGCTGCCCAGTGGGAACAGAAATTTAGGTCCAAGGGCCTCTTTGAAGCAGGAGGGGCCGGTTACCCTCAGCCACGGGGCTCCTCACAGCTACGACCCGCCCCAGTCACAGCCGGGCTGAGGACGCCCACGGCCGTCTCAGCTGGCTCACTGGTGAACGCCTTGGAGCGCTTCTTTGGTGGGAATTAAAATAAATGATGGGGTGGCTGTATTTGGAAACCACAGAGCTCCGTCAGCGCACACGGGACGTTCTTTGCAACGTAACTCAGTCCTCACGACACTCCCAGGACAGCACAGTTGGGAAACCGAGGCACGCGGAAGGAGGAGGCCCACCCAGGGCCACAGCAGGGAGTCGGTGCAGCTCTGACGGGGCCAGTCTGGGACATCTCGGCTGACACGCTCTGAGGGTCCCTCGTTGGGAGACGGAATAGAAAATCACGCCCAGGGTGAATATTTGGAGCGAGGAGGGAAGCCCCAGCCATGGCCCATTTTCCGGCTGACAAACATCACAGATGGCTTCGCAGCCCGGCCCGCCGTGCCTGGAGATGTCGGAATCCCGGGAAACCCTGAGAAACCCTCGCCCGGCCGAGACTCGAACCCAGGCCTTGGCCTCCTTCGGGGCTCTCTCGGCCAAAGCAGCGTCCTCTTAGGCGCCCGGTCTCCCCTGGACGAGTTTCTTTGCCACCGGAATGAACCAAAGATTCGGGGAAGGGTTTGGAAATGGTTTCACCCTGCCCGCCTCCCAGCCCGCCCAGAGCAGGTGGTGGGAGCGAGGGAGGGTCTCGCTGGCGACGGTGGGCGGGCGGGGGGAGGCAGCTCGGTTCTGCGCCCATTTACATACTCCCTCTGTTCCCGGTCTGGAGCTCCTTCCCTTCCCTGGCGCCTCAAGGCACGGCTGCCCCCGGCAGATGAAAGCTTAACGGAGTTTCACCACTTGAAAGTCAGTCGGAGGGAGCAGCCTTGAACAGTTCTGCGTGACAGAGAGAGGCGGACCGGCCACGCGAGGGACGCAGGTGTCCTAAATTATCTTATGACAAAGGCGGCACCGCCTGCCATGGGGGCAACGAGGAGGAAGCAGCCCTGGAAGCAGGTAATCTCTCCCGTGGACAGGTGGAGGCGACTCTGCGGCCAAGGGGCGACTCTGGACACAGGGGCCCCCAGCGTGGGGAGGGGTCCGAAGCCAAGGGGCTCCCTCAGTGGGGAGCGGGAGGTGGGGTGGACGGGGGGGGACACAGTGGTGGGGGCTGGAGCGAAAGATGCCTTTGCCCTGGGCGTGAAAGGGCGAGGCCCCTCCCATTCCAGGTCGTCTCTTCATCCAGCAAACGTGTGCTGAGCTGTACCTTACTCCCCCGCCCCCCCAGAAGCTCAAGGAGAGTAAGGCGTTGTCATTGCCCCGAGAAGCGTCCAGGTGAGGGTGGGTGTGCACAGGGCCAAGCGGGGCGGGCCGTGGAGACGGGTCCGGGGGATGGGCAGCAGGCAGGAAGGAAGGGCCTGCCAGCGGGAGGACGTGGCCGTGGCAGAGGCGTGGAGGTGGGGGAGGCGCCGAAAACCGGGGCCAGGGTGCAGGGCGTGGCCAGAGCCGGAGAGCCCGAGAGGTCCTGTAGTGTCGGGCCCTGTCCTGGGGGGAGAGGGGCTGGGACCGACCCTGTGGACACTGGGGAGCCACTGGAGGGTCTCGGGAGTGGGTGGTGAGGCTGGATGTGCTGTGTGGCCAGGAAAGGGGGGCAGGGAGCAGAGGCAGTAGCCAGGAGGCCAAAGAGGAGGTGGCAGGTCATGAGTGGAGAGGAGGGCATGGGGGCTGCTGGGCGTGGGGCGGCCCTGGCGCCCTGACACCGAGGAGGGTGTGGAGAGCCCTCCCTGCTCCTCTCTGCTCCCCTCCTTCCTCCCCTCCCTCCTCCCCTCCTCCCTATCCCCTTCCTCTCCATTTTCCTCCCTTCTCCCCTCCCCACTTCCCTTCTCCTCTCAGTCTTCCTTCCTCCTCCCCTCTCTCCTCCTCCCCCCTCCTCCCCTTCCTCCTTCTCCCCTTCCTCTTCCTCCCTGTCCTCCTCCTCCCCTTCCTCTTCCTACCCTCCCTCCTCCTCTCCCTCTCAGCGGTTACAGCAGAAGGTCCTCATTCCTGGACAGCAGCCAAGGAGCAGGAGGGCTGCCTCAACCTCCCCTCCAAGCCCAAATGACTCCATTGCCTCTTGGAGTTTCTGAATGCCGGCATCTGGCCAACCTGTGTGCCCCCTCACACACCCGAGCACATGGTCAGCTCTCTGCAGGGCCGAGAGGTCAGGACAGAGCCCAGGCCAGTCTGAGTCCAGTTGTCATGGGTTTTTCTCCCTGTTTGCTGTCTTGGTTGCAGACCTAGCCCAGCTCTGGGAGCCCCAGCAGTTCTGCCATCCCAGGACTGTGCAGGCAGGTTGGATGAGGGTCAGGGACAGCATTCCTGTGCCTGGGCCGTGGTGTGTCCAGAGGGTTCCCTCCAACCCACCCAGATGCAGGGCGCCCTGCTAGAAGCGAACCCTGAGCCCACAGCAGTGAGGCATGATGGATCTGGGGCACAGTTGCTCGGCAGAGGGGGCTGGCTCTCACGGGCATTCCTAGAGGACTGAAAATCCCAGGGTGCGGTGGACTTTGGCTGCTGTGGGCCAAGCCACTCCTAAGGTGGGGCCAATACTCCTGCTCTGCCCACCCCTGGGGCTCCTCCGGAGAATGAAGCGAGGTCAAGGAAGGGGAGGCTTTTGGAGCCACCACACAACCCTAGGAAGCTTGCGGCTTCCGCATTTGGAGGTGCCAGGATGCAGCCCCCGGAGCCAGCACCGGGGGAGAGAAACACGCTGGGTCCCCACAGTGAGCAGTGCCAAAGCCACCTTGGGAAGAAGACAGGGGCTTGGTGGCCTTAGGGGCCAGGGCAGGTGGGCAGGGGGGCAGGTAGCTCCCTCAGGGCTGTGCATTTGTCCCAGGTGAGAAAATTGTTTCCAATCCCTTCCCTCGGGGCCTCAGTGGGCCGTGTCCCCCACTGGGCGTTGGTTTACTTGGGCTCAGGGTGCTCAGGGGGCTGTTCTAGGGGTTTCTGGGTCCCCCATGTCCTTCTTCCACCAAAGGAACTCCCTGAAAATCTATTCTACATTTTTGGCTTCTGAATAAGCATTGGCTGGAAGAAAGGATCCCACAACATAGAGAAGAAAGCAGGTTGGGAGAACCCTGTGCCCACAAAGCACAGTCCCCGCAGCCGGCCCTGCGAGACTGCCGCCTGAGTGTGAGCCGGCAGCCTGCACGGGAGGGCGCCTGCCATCACCAGGCTCAGAGCCTTGCTGGGCTCCGGCTGGGGTTCCAGGGACAGTCAGAAATCGGAGCGGAGTGAGCCCCCATCGAGGGGGTCTCCTGAGAGACGGAGAAGGATGGGGCAGGACGGCAGCCCTGCAAATGGCTCATCCCTGCCCTCCGTGCCTCAGTTTCCTCATCTGCAAAATGAGTATGATGAGAGTACCTCTGGACAGAGTTGCAAGGACAGAACGAGATACCGCATGGAAGCGCTTGGAGAGGGAGGCGGGCACGTCGTCAGTACCCGCGAGTGGTGGCCACGGGCGCTATTATTTTTATTGTTATTAATGTCCCCAGAGCCTTGCCAGATGTCCTTCAGCGCCTACGAACACGTCCTGGGTTGGCCTCTCTCCAGGGTCGTGTGCTTGTGCTCGCGTCCGCCAGGGAGCGAGGACAAGAGGCCCGGAGAGAGGGAGCGGTGGCAGCGGCGGAGCCGGCCCTCCAGCCTCCCGGTCCAAGGCCGTCTCCTTGCCCAGGGCCACCTCTGCACACTCTTCAAAAGAAGCGAGGTCGCACTCCCCCGGCTGAGCAGGGGAGGAGACCAAAGGCGGCTTTGATATGTCGGCTCGGGGAACAAGCTGAGCATGATGGATCACGGCGCTGCTTCCCGCACGGGCACGGGGCCCTCAGTGATGCTCTTCGGGCCCTCCTCTTCATGTGCTGGTGTTTATGATTTTTTTTTTAAAGCGCCTCATCAAAAAAAAAAATGCAATAATGACACTTCTAACTTAACAGCAGCATTTTAGAAGGGATGAATTATTCACATCAGAGATGAAACAGGGACTTTGCAAACTGGGCCAGCTGAAGCAGTCCCTCTCCTTGGGACTATTTTTATCTTCCTTTACAGTCTTTCATCTCGGGAGACACGCAGTTCAGAAAGTACGGGGAGCCCATTGCGCGGAGCCCAAGTTGGCAGGATGTCAAGCCTGAACTACGAGGCGTCTTGGAGCTTCTGCCTGGAGTACGAAACCGGAGGGAACTTCAAGTGTGGGAGACGGAGGAGCAGCAGCACTAATGAGGCTGGTCGGGGAGTTCGGAGGACTCCCTGCTTCTTAGGCTCGCCGGGCTCTCGGAGGCCTGGTCGTCTGTCGTGGGCGCCAGGCAGCCCTGGCCTGCTCCTCAAGGTGGAGCGCACGGAGCTCTTGGGCTCGGGTCCTCGGGGTGCTCGGGTCCTCCCGCCCGGAGGAGGGAAGGGCTTTCAGGGCAAGTGTGGGCCGGCCGGGTGCCGAGCTCTGCAGGCCCCGGCGGCCAACACGGTCAGACCCACGCGTGCCTGGGCGCTGGACAGAGCACCCTGGACCCGAGGCGTCCCTGCAGAGCCATTGAGGTGTGATGTGAGCAACGCAGTGGGTTTCAAAGACTTTGCACAAAGAAAACGCGTAAACTATCTCATTAATATTTTTATATCAATGGCATGTTAAGATGACAATATTTTGAATACAATCGGTTAAATAAAATATATGGTTAGGCCGGGCGAGGTGGCTCACGCCTGTAATCCTAGCACTCTGGGAGGCCGAGGCGGGAGGATCGCTCGAGGTCGGGAGTTCGAAACCAGCCTGAGCGAGACCCCATCTCTACTAAAAATAGAAAGAAATGATTTGACCAACTAAAAATATATATACAGAAAATTAGCCGGGCATGGTGGCGCATGCCTGTAGACCCAGCTACTTGGGAGGCTGAGACAGAGGGATCGCTTGAGCCCAGGAGTTTGAGGTTGCTGTGAGCTAGGCTGACACCAGGGCACTCACTCTAGCCTAGGCAACAAAGTGAGACTCTGTCTAAAAAAATAAAATAAAATAAAATATATGGTTAAAATTAACCTTACCTGGTTGTTTCGCTTTTTAAAACATGGCCGCTAGAATACTTAAAATTACCATGTGGCTCATTTTATATTTTTATCAGACAGCACTGCTGTAGAACGGGACATTCTAGAAGACATTAACCAGTGATGGAATTACAAGACTCCCCGCTCTTCCTTTTCTAATTTTCCTGTGTTTTCTAAGTTTCGCAGATACTTCAAAACGAGCTGCTCTAGCTTTGTCTCAGAGAAGACACAGCTACTATTCTGTTTAATGAATCTTAGGGCTCGTTGGGAGGTGGGACTGAGCTAAGCTGCTACCCTGGAGGCAGCAGTGTCAGCAACCATGCTACGAAGACAGGGTCCGGCAGCAGAAAGACAGCGGGGGGCTCCGAGGATGCCAGAGGTTGGAACGGGGGGCTCAGGGGCCGAGTGCTCTGGGCCTGGCAGATAGGAACCCAAATGAGGAGTGGTGGGGAAGCTTGTCAGTGAGACACAGGAAGCGGCTCCAGTGACGGCTTGGGGCTGGAGGGGCCTTTTCAGCAGCACACCACAGGAAGCTGCTGTCTTCCTGCTTGTATACAGGAGTGTATACTTGCTTAGCACTGACTAAGGTGCCGGGTGCTGCTTCCCATGCTTTTCAGGTCTCAATTCATCTATTCCTCAATTACAATCCCACGAGACAGAGACTATTATTATCCCATTTCACAGAGGAGGAAACTGAGGTGCAGAGGCGCCGCGTAACCCTCTCTGGGTCCGCTGGTGACACGGACCCCTAATGAGATGCATTTACCCTCCTCGGCCTCCAGGGGCGCTGTCCACAGCAGCCGGAGCTCCAGCCCAGCGCCGTCCAACAGGAACGTGAGCTACGGTAAAAAAAAAATGTAAAAAAAAAAAAGTACTTTTACTTTTTTAAAAGTTAAAAAAAAAAAAAAGGCGAAGCTAATTATCATTCTGACATGTAATCACCCTAAACCGTATCCGTGAGCTGTTGTAGGTTCTCTCTTGCTGCTGCACGTTTCGAAGTCCAGCATGTGGTTTAGGTGCTCGCTAGCCACGCGTGGCCCGTGGGGCTGCTCCGCGCCCTGGGCACCGAACGTCAAAGAACTGGCCTGGGGTGGCGGCCTGGTGTCACTCTCGTCAGCCAGCCCTGGCTGCCGGTGCCGTCTGGCTCGGTGGCGAGGAGGAGTGATGGGGCATCTGCCACGAGCAGGCGAGGTGGGCATGCACCGGGCGGGGGCTCCCGGTGAGCTCCCCCACTCGCCCGCCTGCGGTTCCCACGGTCTGCGGGGGCCGGGCTCCGTGGGCTCTGAGCCTGCCTTCTGCGTCCAGACCCCTTCTGGCCGTGACATCTGCGAGCCTCACTTTCCACGCTTGGAAAGTGGGCATAATACCCTTACTTAGAAGGACAACCAGGAGTGTAAAGCGTAGGCGAGGAGGGGCTGGCGGCTCTCCGATCTCCCTTCTTTCAACACGGTGTCCCCTCCTGCCCCCTCCTGCAAAGCCTGTCCTCTCCCAGAGCCCCCTCGGGAGGCAGGCGGCTCCAGACCGTGCCTGGCCGCGGCCTCTCTGTCCCTTCCAAGGCTGAGCGAGGCCTCCTGCTAGCCGCTCCCCCCAGCAGGCCCCTCTGCGAGCCTCTTCCTCCAAGGCCAAGGATGTCTCAGCCCTCGGCAGGCCAGCGCAGGGGCCCCAGCCTCTCCGGCCACGCTGGCAGGCTCCGAGCGGGGCCTCCGCACCTGCCAGACGGCTGACGGAGTTGAGACACTCTGCCAGTCCCAAGCTTTTTAATAACTCCCTCTCAGCCACTGTGGACGTGGACGTCCTCTTCCCGGCCTCCCTGTGGGACGCCGGCCCTCCTCCAGCAGAGCACACAGGGGTCTCCTGTGACCCGTGCCGGTCGGCACCTCTCCCGCGGCACCCTGCGCTGTCTTCCAGGGGGAGCCGACACCCGCAACATCTGGCAGGGAGCGGACTGTAAATGGTGGACACGCTGGCAAGGCAGCGGCTCCCATTAGGAAACAACTAGATTTCTCTGAGTACGATGGGGAAAGTGATTCTCTGGCCAACAGAGTTTAATCAAAATGTTTTATGCAAGACGTATCCCTGACCCTGACAAATCTTCCCCCTCTTGCTGGAAATTAAACAAATACACTGTCAGCGCGGATTCCAATGAGCACATACACAGATGTGAGGCCCGTGCGACCGTGGGGTTGTGGGGTTTCGGCAAGCCGAGGCGGGCAAGGGACAGGCGGGAGCCCTGCGCCGTCCTCTGGGCTTTTAGGGGCTCCGCTGCGTGCCGGGCCACAGGAAAACAGAGCCTCTCTGCTCTGCCCCTCCCGAGGCAAGGCCCTCCGCCTGCGTGCCGTGTTCCGAACGGCATCCTGAGCCCGCGTCTGTTCCAACTCTCGCCGCTGCCCCGTGAGCACATGCTTCAGCATCTGTCTCCCCTGGCAGGCCGCGTCCATTTGTCTTCCCAGCCCTGGCACCCGGGACAATGCCTGGCACAGGGGACCTTGAACAACTGTTTGTGGGAGGCTGGGAGGGAGGGAGGGAGATGAAATGTGGGGCTCTGGCCCTCGAGGAGGTGGCATCGTCTAACCTGACCCACTCTGGAGTCTGGGAGCTGAGTTGCAACTCTGCCAGGGTTAAATTCTGTGAGCCTCAGTTTACCGACCAGGAAAGTAGGCGTAATGATGGATGGTTGCTGTGAGAATTAAACAAGGCAGTGAACACATCTGGTGCAGATGAAGCAAGAGTTGGTGGCAGTGGCCGTCGGTGGCTCGTGCTCCATGGGGAGCAGCACTCGGAGTGCTGAGAGCCTTGGTGGCAGTGTTGGTGCAAAGGAGTGAGGGACAGGGGAGGGCAGGAGAAAGACTCACGGCCCCATCCCAGAGGAGGGTGCTACTGGGCTGGCTCTTGGAGGCCCAGAGCGGTGACCTACCTAAAGTCACTTAGCAGGGAAGTTCCTGGGGCAGCCAGGGCTTGCCCAGGGCCCTCTGAACCTAACGCTGTGCTTTCCCGTTACACTTTTCCAGGTAATTATGGCAGAGTGTAGACTCATGGGCCCGAACATGAGTCTTCTCCCTGGCTGTGGAAGAACCATCTGGGAAACTTCTAAAACTTCCCGTCCCCCAGCCCCAGCCCTGGAAGCTCATGCTCAGGAGCAGCAGGAGGGACCTTGCCTCAGTGTTTGAAACTACCCAGTTGATTCTGCTGCCAGGGAGGACTGGGGGCCATAGTGTGGACCACCCACTTAAGAAACAACTGTAAATAGTAGTGCTTTAGTGACCCGAGGGCTCAGTTGCCTCCAGGTGGGCAGAGCAGGTGGAGGGAGGAATGTGCGTGACAACCGGCCCGGCTGAGCCCCTGCCGCTCTGGTCCCCAGCCCTTCCATTGCTTTCACCTGGGGCCTCGGGCTGTCCTGGCCAGGGAGTCCCACTGTGCAGGGAAAGTGCCCAGGGACACTCCCCTGCCCCCATAGACCCCCATTCGGGGACCAGAGTGCCGCCTGACATCCCGCAGCAGAGAGGCCAGTGCTTTCCTGTCCCTTTCAGTTGGTCCTGTTATCTCAACAGCCTTGGCTTTGGGGGTGAAGGGCAGTAGCCATCCAGGCTGGCATTGCAGAGTGATGGATTCTAGGGTCAGACAGGCTGGTGCGCTCCTTACATTACTGATGAAAGAGAAAAAGAGCTCAAGGTCAGAGTGGCCCCCATCATCGTTCTGGCTTTGGATACATGAGATTGGGCCTCTCCTTGGTTTGAGCCTCTCCTCCTCATGAAACACAGGGAAAAATTTGTGGCAGTCAGTAGAGACCATGACAACAGCTGAGTCTTGAGAAGTTTGAGGGGATGGTGAGGGGGATGGGGCTCATGGAAGGTATTCAGGTTGCCCTCGCACCTCCCAAGCCCACTTCTGGCATCTTTGAGAGTTGACTGCACAGGGGAGTGCCCATGGTGGTCCCCACCCTCACCCTTCCCCCCGGCCCTGCCTGTCCCCGGCTCTCGGCCGCTCTCTCTGGCTGCCTGCAGGAGCGGGTCTGGGCAGCACACTGCTGTCCAGGAAGGCGAGCAGGGTTGGAGTCCCTGCGCTTTGCAGAGGGGAACGTCGGCCCGGGGAGGCCGAGAACAGAGCCGAGCCTGCAAGCCACCAGACTTCATCTCTGCCAGGAGGATGGTGTCATCTGTTTCTCGGGTGGGGAAACTGAGGCTGGCAGAGGTGGGGTGACCCACCGAGATGGGAGGGCCAGATATCCTGCGCCACTTTGGTCTGTTTTGTGCACGTGGGGCGTGTGTGAGGGAGCGTGCCCTCCGCCTGCTCTGGGGTCACTAATGCGCTACTATTTACCGTCGTCCCTTAAGTGGGGACTCAGGGTTTACAGCAAGGAGGGTTGAAGTCACCAAGCTCAGCCTTTCGCCACGGGAGTGAGACCCAGGCTGGAGGGGGAGGGAGGAGCTGGGCGCTGTGGGGACAGGAAGCCTCCCGGCAGCATCTGGGCTGACGCAGACTGGCACATGGCTGTTAGGAAGGGTGGGCGGGCACCGCGCCCGGGATGTGCCCTGTCACCCACTCACGTTTCAGGAGGCAACTGGGCCCGGGAGCGGATTCTCGGGGCCTCCGAGGCCTCTGCATTAGCCTCGGCACAGATGGGGAGCCGGG